CTCGTCATTTGACGGGAGGCTTCGGCTTCTGGGCCCAGGCTCAGTGCGTAACATATTGGTAGATAGATAGATAGATATTTAGGTAGATAAAAAACACACTTTTTCGGGCTTTATAGAACTGGCAGCAGTCTCGTTGTCGCCACTGCCGCTCAACAATGGTCCGCCGCTGGAAAGTTAATTTTTCAGGCAACGAATAAGTAATTAGCGGCCTGGTGCTAAGTTGCATGAGTATTTTGAGAGGAGCGGACAGAAACAAATCTCGCTGCTGAACAAAACATTCTTTCGCATGATCAATTTGGTCGGTGGTGGTCATTCTCGAAATCGCCCCTGTAGTTGGGGTTGCATAAACTGGTTTAGTGGGAATAAACCGGCTAGAGTTCCTAATCAATTAAGCCACTCAAATCGATATGAGCTAAAAAATAATTTGTTTGGAAAATAACTTCAAAGCGAATACACGTGAATTAAAAATTTCCGAGGAACTTAAGGTAAACAAATTAGGAAGATTGAGCGAAATTGGCATAATAGCGAACTTTTAATACATAGGTACATACATATTTTTAACTAAAAATAATTTTTGAATATATTTATTTATATATTTCTTACACCTTCCAAATAGTGAACTTTATTTAGAAGATACAAAATTTTTGAACTTTGGATATTTCTTTTTTCAATCAATTTAATTTAGTTTTTATAGTTTCAATTCGTTGCCATGCTGACCTCAATGTTTGGGTTTTGGGAAAGGAGCTCTTCCCCTTCTGCGGGGATTTAATTAAAAGAATAGAATTTGCTGTTTTCTTGGGGGCCAGAGGAAATAAGGTCGCCAGGGCTTTAATAGCGCTGCTCCGGTGTTTGCACAAAGATAAAGACCAGAAACTTTATAGCCAGCCGCAGCGAAATAGATAAAAATGGAAATAATCAAGCAAAACCGCGACTAGGCTCTGATTTATACGATATCTGGTGTCGTAGCCCGCGGGCTCCGATAAGGCACGCACCCAAATGCGCCAAATTCCCTCGACTCGAAACTGCATCGGGTGAATCGACCCGAGTCTCCGGCCCTTGGGGAAGTGCACTTTTGAGTGCAAACGGTGCCAGCCAGCCGGGGAAAATGTGAATCACGATGACGACGGACTGACGCGCCAAAACTGATAAGGCAACAAAGAAAATCACATGTGAAAGTAGGAAAGGAAAAGGTGAAGGAAAATCTCGAGGCGCAAAAGGTGCGCTGCCAGATAAATTGTGAAACGGAAATGAAACACCTACGCAAATAGTGCAGCGATGTGCAGACACAGCCGCAAACAAGCAACATCCTAATTTAGATAAGGGCCGCCAGTCCAGTTTAGCACCGTTTCACGTTTTACGGCCCGAAGAAAGTAATCGCCACTCCATCCCATCCGCTTCGAACCCGCTTCGAATCCGCTGAACCCACACCACCACAGCATTCCGCTAATTAATGCAGCGACCCGCTCGCCATCACCCTTTTGACCCGATTGCTCTACTTTCGGTGTCACCTTTGCGTAAGGTACGTACATAAGGTGCAGTATATATCTACTATATATCGGCGGATGCTGGTTGTCGGACTGCCGGACTGCCGGGATGCCGGGATGCGGTTCTGCCCGGCCATTGTCTGCGCGGCAGGGCAGCCATAAAATTGGCATTGTTTTCTATGGTAAACACGCGCGCAATGCGGTCGTAAAACAAAAGACGCTTTTATGGTTACGCTCATTACGGCACACGCAGTACAAAGACCTAGATACACACGCGGACCCCGAGGTACGGATACCGATCCGTAGAATGTGGCGAAACACCTAGGAGATACACCTCGATGTCTTAATGCCCACTACAACCCTGCTAATTAAAACTAAACATATATTTCTTGATGAAATTGAAACTCTTTTATATGTTTTACATCTAGTAAATAAGAAAATAAATTTCCAACATACTTATGTATCTGTTAATCATTTCATACTACAGATCTTTTAGACTACAAGAGCCTAAACTAGATTTAAAAGCCAACGTAAACCGGAAAGTCCACATATACTGAAACTCTATGAGATAACCAACATTTTAACAGTTTCTTAATTGATGGGTGAACCCTCCCCTCCAAATGCATTTCTTACTTAAGCATAATCTCTAGTGTATTTGATTATCCCAAAAGAGAAAGACTGCAAGATCTCGATTTGTTTGCGCTGCACATTAGAACGTTGTGATCATCTGCTGTTGTTGCAAACGATTAAATAATCACTAATGAGCCCCGTTAATTGGGTTAAGCCAAAAAATACAAAGCAAATAAAACAAAACGAATAGCCGTTTAAACGACATTGATGCTCGTCGTCCGATGTCCGATTTCCAATGTGCGATGGTGTCGACACGTATGCGGCCGGGTATTTTAATTTGTGTGAAAATATTGTACAAACAAATAAATCAACAATAACAAATAATAACAATAAAAATAAATATTATACAAATTATGGCGATACACCGATATAGATATAGACACAGATACTGCGAAAGAGCGGCCGCAGATACGGATTCATGCCACCGGCGGTCGTTGGACGTCATCTATCCGAGAAATGTTGGTCAATCGCTTTGATAGATATATTTTTGTAAAGTCATTGCCACACGGCGCATGCGTCACACAAATGCTTAAAACAAACAGAAAGCGCAGCGTTTTAAAGCCATATCAACTCGACAAGAGCGCCAGCAACAAAATCAAAACAACGGGCGGCGGGAAAAAAGAAGCAAAGCAAATATTTTCCATAAATATCCATTTGGGGATGCATGGGGCGTCGGGGGCGCCAGCAATTGAAACTAATTAAAAAGTTTGAGCAGGGCTTAGACCCGATTTGCGCCGAGTGCAGCCGAACCAACTGTATCAAATCGTAGCGCTGCAAAACCCAACCAAAAAGGAAAACAAACCCGAAACGTCAACGGATGGATCCGACCTACAGTGGCGCGCTTTTAAAGCAAATAAATAAATAGATAAATGACTAAAAGGTAAATAAATACACATTTTTGGACTGCCTGGCATTACTATTTGCAGAGAGTCTCCGCCAAAAAGCACACATTTGATGCGCTCTGCCCAGCCCGCCCACACGGCAAACATTAATGAGCCGGAGCCACTTGAACTGCCTGTGAAATACCATAAAAATATTAAATATTTAAGCACATTACGGTTATTAGAAGTGCACATAAGGATTTGGGTACATATGTGCTCAGTCGCCCAAGTGTTTGGTGCTTAATGATCGCGATGATGCGATATAGATATCCGAATGGGGCAGGTCGAGCAAAGTTGAAGGGAACGATATTATTAACAGTCGGACTTTTGAGTTGATTTTTTCTGAATCAGTTGCATTTATCTTTCTACCTTATCTTACTATTTTAATTCCCTTAAGATAATCCTCAAAATTATAAATGTATTACTCATGTAAACCGGATATAGGGACATGACTCATTAAAACACTCAAATTACGGAAAAATAAGTTGATTATACATGGTTACTCGATGTAATTGTTGTTACTTCAACAAATATATTTTAGATCATTCACACTGCAAACAAATTTTTTAAGTTTATGGGTTTAAATGTAAAAAACAACATTTGAATGGTAATTTATCTAATTCAGAGACAATGCGCCTAAATGCACACTATGAAATCACAATTGAAAAGAAAACTTCTGCATTGACAAATGGAAATGTAATGCGGAAATTCCCCGCATTTCTGAATACTCAGGTAGCTCCTGATTGAGTAAAAACTTTCATTGAGAAACGGGACAATTGCCAGTTTATGGCCGCAATAATGAGCCTGGCTCACATACACTTTCACAGACACACACACACATTCAGAGACACACACGCAGATACACTTGGCCAAGCGAAAGGGTTAAGCGGAATATGAAAGGCGTCTATGGTTTATGACCGAAATTAAAATGCGTTTTATCCGTGGCCATAAAGGTGGATACCAGGAAGTATCCGCCAGCACGCGCTATCAATGAACTGCGGATGTTTCGGATTCCAGATTTCGGAATTCAGTGTCCAGAATGCAGATACTCAGATACTCTGATACTGAGATACTCAGACACTAGGGTATCCAGGTGTCCAGGTAGGACGTGATGTGGCTGCGATGGAGATGGACGGACGGACGGCCTGCGGAACTGGGTCACTTTCGCAGTGACTTGCCAAAAAGGAGAACTGCGCCGCTGAGTTTGCTGCTGCCGCTCGCGATGCCTCGCCACGAATGCGAATGCGAATGGGAATGAATGAGAGTGACATTGGCATACCTTAACCTCAAAAAAGGCGAGCGAATGCGGAAAAAACTGACGGAAGGCACACCACACCACACATACCATATTGTCGAATGTCTTCTTTTGGGAGCCAAGGCGGCTGGCTTCTCTGCCACAACAGAGCGTCGTTGTCGGATTCTCGGTCTCCCCGGAGATTCCGGTCTCCAGACCTCGTCTATGTTTTATTTCCAGTTTTACCTTATTTTTTTCTTGCTTTTTTTTCGCCTTTGGTTCGTTTTTTGTTGGCCACGGCGAGAACGAGAGCGAGCGATTATTGATCGCATTAGGGAAAATCGTTAACTGTAACATGGCGTCGCTCAGCATTAGCAGCGAGTGTATCTGTATCTGTATTTCTATCTGTATCTGTATCTGTACGGGCTCCGACCGTGTATCTAAGGGTGTGTGAGTGGAGGGCGTTGCTCGCCAAACGGCTGGCCACGCCCCCTGGCGGGCCAGTTGCCTGGCAACCGGAGCTGCTCTGTTGATACAAGAGGCCCGCCGACCAATGCGCGTGCGCCGCACCTCAGATGTGTACGTAAGAGAACCGCCGGCTGTCATTGGTAACTTCACCGCCGGTGGTGAGACGCACTATCCAGTTGGCCATGGGCGAGAGCGAGTCGGAGCCAATGCTGCCGCGGCCGCTGCCCACGGCGACTGCGACGCCGACGCCGGCACTTGAGCGCGGCTCGAACAATATTTGTTGGCAGCAAGCGCAAGCCAAATAGTAGACAAGCGTTCCCCTCTGCAAACAGTCACATTCAAGAGCTCAAGCCAAAGAGACACTCGAGCGGACCAGCAGCAGCAGCAGCGGCAACAGCAGCAAACGCAGCAAAGGCAGCAGCAAAAGCAGCAGCTCCAGCTCCAGCTCCCAGCTTCAGACTTCAGTGGCCAACAGCCAGCTAGCAATCCACGTTCGTGCGTCGGTTTTTTTGTGGCCGCACGGCGGCAGACAACAAAAAAAAGCAAGAAAAGCAAATGAAAATAGAAGAAACGAATAGCAAAGAATCATAACAAAAATAGAGCCACGTTATTTTACAACCCGTACAAATAATCGTACAAGCAAATCGCAAGTTAATAGCAGTGTTTTTAGTGTGCACAAACAAAGCCCCGAACCCTTTTGGCCAACAACAAGTGACTAGTGCCCCCGACAAAATGCCAGCCAAGTGCAATCCCGTTGGAGCAGTGATAGTGCTCTGAAACCGAAGATTCGAAACCCCGATTAGCAAGAAAGCCACATCTTAAAAGGACCTCAAGTTTTTCATTTTTGTTTCGAAGAACGCGTCCCGCACGCGTTGCCTTTTCCATCGATCCACCAGCGGGCAGCGCGTCCAAAAGCCGGCAACATAACGGCGCAACTATTGAACAGCTTTCTGAAGGGGAGCCCCCACCAGACCACCATTGACATCATGCAGAAGCTCTACGCGGAGCCGCCGCCGAGCAGTGCTCCGGTGAGCATGGCCAGCTCGGGCGGCCCTCCCTCGGGCGGCGGCTCCGGGGGCGGCGGGGGAGGCGGTCCGCCGCCGCCGGGGAGCAACAACAACCCCAATCCGACCAGCAACGGCGGCAGCATGAGTCCCCTGGCCCGCTCCGCCTACACGATGAACAGCATGGGCCTGCCGGTGGGCGGGATGTCCTCCGTCTCCCCCGCAGGCGGCGGCCACCTTCAGCTCCAGCGTCTTGGATTCCGCGGCGGCGGTGGCCAGCATGAGCGCCAGCATGAGCGCCAGCATGAACGCCAGCATGAACGGCAGCATGGGCGCCGCGGCCATGAACTCGATGGGCGGCAACTGCATGACGCCCAGCTCGATGAGCTACGCCAGCATGGGCTCGCCGCTGGGCAACATGGGCGGCTGCATGGCCATGTCGGCGGCCAGCATGTCGGCGGCGGGTCTGAGCGGCACCTACGGCGCCATGCCGCCGGGATCGCGGGAAATGGAGACGGGATCGCCGAACTCCTTGGGCAGATCGCGAGTAGATAAGCCCACGACGTACCGGAGGAGCTATACGCACGCCAAGCCGCCGTACAGCTACATATCGCTGATCACGATGGCCATCCAGAACAACCCGACGCGGATGCTGACGCTCTCGGAGATCTACCAGTTCATCATGGACCTGTTCCCGTTCTACAGGCAGAACCAGCAGCGCTGGCAGAACTCCATACGGCACTCGCTGAGCTTCAACGACTGCTTCGTGAAGATCCCGCGCACGCCGGACAAGCCGGGCAAGGGATCCTTCTGGACACTGCACCCGGACTCGGGCAACATGTTCGAGAACGGATGCTATCTGCGGCGGCAGAAGCGCTTCAAGGACGAGAAGAAGGAGGCCATCCGGCAGCTGCACAAGAGCCCCTCGCACAGCAGTTTGGAGGCGACGAGTCCGGGCAAGAAGGACCACGAGGACTCGCACCACATGCACCACCACCACCACAGCCGGCTGGACCACCACCAGCACCACAAGGAGGCAGGCGGAGCCTCGATCGCGGGCGTCAACGTGAACGTGCTGAGCGCGGCGCACAGCAAGGACGCGGAGGCGCTGGCCATGCTGCACGCCAACGCGGAGCTCTGCCTCAGCCAGCAGCCGCAGCACGTGCCGAGCCACCACCACCACCAGCACCACCAGCTGCAGCAGGAGGAGCTCTCGGCCATGATGGCGAACAGGTGCCACCCGTCGCTGATCAGCGACTACCACTCCTCGATGCACCCGCTGAAGCAGGAGCCCTCCGGCTACACGCCCTCCAGCCACCCGTTCTCCATCAACCGCCTGCTGCCCACGGAGTCGAAGGCGGACATCAAGATGTACGACATGAGCCAGTACGCCGGCTACAACGCGCTCAGTCCGCTGACCAACTCACACGCTGCCTTAGGCCAGGACTCCTACTACCAGAGCCTCGGCTACCACGCGCCCGCCGGAACCACGAGCTTGTGACATCACCAATACCCGCTGGCTTAAGGACGCGCGGAGCAGATGCTGCGCTCGCAGCAGCAGCAGCACTTGCAGCAGCAGCAGCACCAGCAGCACTCGCAGCAGCAGCAGCACTCGCAGCAGCAGCACTCGCAGCAGCAGCACTCGCTGCAGCAGCAGCAGCAGCAGGCGGCGCAGCAACTGACATCCGCTTCCAACACACCAGCAACGTCGGCAGCCAAGGCCAAGGCGGGATCGGGATCGGGATCGGGATCAGCAGGATCAGCATCTGGTTCGGGATCGGGATCGGGCTCCGGATCGGCCTCCAACTACTCACAGAAGCTGCACCAGCAGCAGCAACAGCAGCAGCAGCAGCAGCAACAGCAGCAGCAGCAGCAACACCACCAGCAGCAGCAGCAGCTGCTGCAGGAGCTGCAGGAGGACTCCTCGAACATCACCAGCGACCTGAGCGAGGAGCAACTGCAGCAGCACCAGGCGGCGCAGCAGCAGTTGTACAACAACTACCAGCAGTACGCGGCGGCGGCGGGCTACCGCAACTGGAACCACAGCCTCACGTTCAACGGGGCCGCCGCCCTGCAGAATCTCCTGTAGCTGTAGCCCTCGACAGGCAGCGGCTTTGTTGCCGGCCCTGCTGCCAATTAGCGAGTGCGGAGCCAGTGGCTTTTAGCACCTGGTCGCCGGTGGCAAGTCGCCGGTGGCAAGTCGCTGGGTCGCATCCTTTGAGCACGTGAGTCTTGGGCCGCCACTGTACATATTCCCGAGCCGATCGAGAGCGCTGCCTTTGAGTTGATCAGTTCCAGTTGATAGTTCCAGCAGGAGGAGGAGGAGTAGTATATGGAGGAGGAGTAGTGGATAGAGTAGATGGAGTGCCAGGAGTAGGAGCGAAAGAAAAAGTGATGTAGTTGTAAGTGCAGCAGAACCTTTGTTAACATTTTACGTTTTGCTAATACAAACACAAATAATAATTCCGTGCCATTTGTTTTCGTTGTTTCGAAACAAGCAATAACAATCAAAGCGGTTAAAACTAAAAATTGAAAGACATTTTAAATGTATCATTACCGAGAAAATAGGAAGATATAGAACGAGAGAGAAGGGATCGTGTGTAATGTTCTTTTAGAAAACAAAGCCCCCACTAAAGCAGTCCCCGAATGAGAGAAACAAATACTAAAACCTTTACCCAAAGGCAATCGCAATCGCAATCGAATTCGAATCGCAAATGATCAAAACCAAAAAGAAATCTAAAATCTAAACCATCATGTTGAGCAGTCCAGCAAACACCCTAAGAATCTTCAAACTATCTAAGCAACAAAAATCTGGCCATGCATAGGAAACGTCGCGTTCTTATTGAATAATTTATCAAACTCCCATTTATATATACGCGCATCGATATACGCCGATATATCGCAAAACCCGCATTTCATTTACATTGTGTGTCTTCTGTTGTTGTACGAATTCGTTAGGCTAAGGCATTTTGTAAATAATCTATAAATAGATACCTTTAAGCAACACCCCCTCCAAAAAGAAAAACACAACAAAAACCAACATAACTAAGGCCCCCCACTTGCAAGCAACCAACTTTTAACTAACTCGAGAATTAATCAAATTGTATGAAATTATGCCACACCACTTGAAAGTAAACATAATATAAATATAAATATTGTATAGCATTTAACATTTAATTAGCATAAATAACGAAAGCAAAAAACAAAAAGGAAAAAAAACACATAAAAAGCGAAAACTGCAATTATTATTCAATAATTTTTAATATTAGTTATATTGTGCGTAAAGAAAAAAATAAAACGAAATGCAAACACAAAACAAAGACCCTTTTTACATTGAGCTAAGCTAATTAATTAAACTTGATAAAAATAGTCTAAATATAACACACACACACACACACACACAAACACACACTGACACAGAAACAAATGAAAATTATTGTAAAATACACAATATAAATTCAATAAATGTCAATGCAAGAATTAAATCCAACTCTAAAGCTAGTAAAAATTAATATTATTATAAATCATGCAAAACAAACACAACGTCAACGACAACAAAATCGACTATTTTAATGTTTGAAATACAAGAAAAGGAAAAAAGACCATAAATTTGTTTTCATTTCCCTCGCAGTCGGAGACGAAGGGGACACCTCTGTTGATTCAAGCAACTGACCTCCAACAATCATTTATACATTGATTGGGCTGCCTGTACAGCCTATCTACCTATCTTCCTATATCGACTCTGTAGGGTCTATCAATGCAGCGAATTCGAATTGAACGACCGATAGCCGAGCAGTTCCAGGAGACGCTATCTAATCGCCGTCACTCAGATGCAGAGTGCAGTTTTCCACTAAACGAGTGCACATATACCATATACGCGTCCCGATGATAAACCCTTATCGCAGTGCACTCATAAATTGCAACGGAACAAGAAGGTAAACAAGCGGGATGGGTTCCATCCCGGACCTGACATACTGACTAACCCATCTCAGCCCAACCCATAGCCTGCAACCCAGAGCCCATAACCCATCCCTCCGCCCGAAATCGAATCCGGGGAGGGAAGTCTTCCCTCCAGTTTAACCGCCACTACTACGTTCTGTTTGCCTTCTAGTAATATTCATGGGGCACCGGGAGTTCGGGGCGAGCACCTCCCTATCGGAGACCTTATCTCGGCAGTATAAACAACGGACGGAGCCTGATCCGTCGCCATTCCCCCTGGTGAACTGGCGAACTGGTAACCATCCACCGCTGATTAACATCGGTGTGATTCACCTGGAGGAACCTACGATCCATCCACCAGGTCCTACGACTCTCGGACATTCCGCAGACATTAGGCGGAGAAACGATTCAGTTATCTTGTAGCTGGGGCATGTTTGACAAGCTGTTGTCGTTTTTAATTAAGCAGGAAGGTCACCATTTCTACATGTTTCCATAAGCGACATTTTATTTATACATGTGCATGTGGGCGACCGGCTTTAATACATTTTTTATAGCTTCCACCCGGCCGGAGCTGCTCCATAAAGAGTTCGCTTTGTTGTTCGCCAAGGGGAAGGAAAATGGGTCTGGGGTCTGGGAACAGGGGTCTGGGGACTGGGCGACTTGGTCTGGGTCTCGGTCTCTAAAAGCGACAACAAACCAAGCGCCATTTTGTTGTCGCTTCAATTTCGATTTTTCCTTGACATTGTGACTGTCAGCGTTCTGGCGGAGTTTCTTCATTTTACTCCCGGCCAGCAAACAACCCCATCTGGGCTGGCTTAGGAAATCTGTGTTTTGGGGTTGGTTCGGCTAAACTGGCAACCACCCAGCCACCCAACCACCCAACCACCCAACCACCCACTCGAACCCCCACCAAGTCTGTCCACAATTTATATATCGATGCCTTAATGCCAGACATGCGCGCTGAAGACGCTCAAACGCTGAAGCACGGGAGTGTGTGTTCGTTCGACGGGGCCAGAGTTTGTTGAGCTCTCTAGACAAGGCGGCCCAGCTGAATTCCATATCTATTCATAAATGCCCCGCCACAAAGCGGCCGCCTCGCCATCAATTTGCAATTATTTAGCCGAGGACAGATTTAAAATTCTATTTCCACAAACAGGTCGTGCTAAACTCTGCCCCGAACAACTGGCAAAACAAAGCCATTTGGAAATTGGCAAATAGGAAAAATTGTCATGACATTTGCTGGTCATTAAAAATTGAAGACTGCCACAGTTCCATGCGAAAGTCATCGCAAGTCTGTGGGCCCCCCTCAGCATTATGTGCATGCATTTATTTGATAGCATTTATTATTTGCATAAGCAAAATTTACCAAAAATACCAACTTTAAATTGGATTCAGAGATGAAAGTTTCAGACAGTCGGGCACTTTATAAAGCAACCGAATTTCAGTTTTAACTCGCTTTCCCGCAACAGAGATTGTGGCAAACAAAGTTGAATTCGGTTGAGTCCGTAGCCAAAAGCCCCGACTGCTGTTGCTGCTAATAAAGAACCACAATCTTGTAGTAATTTTCTAATGGAATATTTAATTTTAAAACGAGACACAGCCAAGTTGGGGCACACAAAGCGGAGGAGAATCTCTGCCGGAGCAGAAAAAGTGGTCGGGCAACCCTTTTTTCCTGAGCTTATGCCGGATGGATGGATACACAGGAAGTAGTGCCTTTGCTATCCTCCGAGCTCCATCATCCTTTCTCTGCTTTCCCGTAAACCAAGGCACTCAAAGACAGCGTGCGGACACTGGAATAAAAGGATGGCATTTGGGGGTAAGGTACTTGAATTAGGAAATTTACGTAATATAGTAAAGTACATTTCTTGCAGAAATATCATAAGAATAATAAACGTTTTTCTAACGATTAATAGATCCAAAATACAAATTGGTTTTTGTGCATACTGAGTTGAATTGTTTTGGAAAATAGTAGTAAATGCATTGCTTTAGATCTTTATTTATTTTCAGTGCACGAAGGAGGTTTCTGAAATGGAGGATGTAGTCGTGGATGTCGCTGCAGGGGCAGCACTCGCTCGGATGGTTGGGCTGGCTGGGTGGTTGGGTCTCTCCGTAGACCCCCATGGAACCCCCTTCCCCTCTTTACCACTCGCTTTGTGCACTGCTTTTTCATTATTATAATACTTTGTAATTAGGTTTTCGAAAGTTAATTAAAATTCGGTTATGAAAGCGGAAACTTTCTCATGAACGCTTCCGGTTATAAAAACGCATGATGGCGGATGGGTTGAGCTGCCTGGTTGGTTGGGGTTTTTGGGCTTAGGCCCGGTGGGTGGGGCCCGGTTAGACAAATGGAAAGCGGAAAAAAATGGAAATGGAAATAAAGGGAAAAAGGATTTTCGGGCTCCAGTTGAGCTGCAGCCAGAGACAGACAGGGAATAAAAGATGGAAATGTACAAGGCACGGGAAAAGTTCCCCGGCTCCAGCGAAAAGGAAAAAGGACACGGCGAAGGGCGAAAGGAGGTATTCCGAGGGAAACTGAGGGAACAGACAACGAACGGCTCGGCTCTCAACTTTGTTTCGAGGAAATTTTTGTGCAAACATTTCTCTGAAATTAAAAAATACATATTATATTTTAATGAGCAAAATGGCTGCCATGGTGCGATGGCTGTTGGTTGTCACGTTTAACGCCGGCCGCGCCCAGAACGGAACGCAAGGTTCTGGCTGGCATTGCGAACGGGATAATTAAAATGATGACTTGAAAATAAATTGCTGTTATCTCTGACCAACAGGCTGGCTGTGCGGCTGTGGCTGTGGCTGTGACTGCGACTGCGACCCCACCCAAAACCGTTGCCGGTTGTCGATGACACGTCGATGTCGACAGCGCCACATCATTATAAACTGGGGGAAAGCTGGCGAGGGGAGGTTGGCGAATGTCCTGAGTGTCCTTTCGGCGGGTCGGCCGCTGTGTGTGTGCTCTATCAGCGCCTGCCGCTGCTGCGTGCTTGAGAACGACACTTACGGATTAGGCCAGCAGCAGCAACATCAGCAAGAGCAGCAGCAACAGCAACAGCAATACCCGAACTCCCAAACACCCAAATACCCAACAGCAACACCAGCGACCAAGCTGACAAGTGGCCGCCTTTAGAAGCGGTTGTCCTTTTTGCCGCTGCAGCCCGTGCTCCTTGCTGCATTGTGTGCTCTTGTTTATCTAAAACATTCCACACATAATTAGCAGCAAGCTCTGCAGCCTCCCACTTCCACTTCCACCCTTCTTATTCAGCAAATTGAAATTAATCCGCGAAACCTTACGCTCGCAAATGCGGGCACGTGCTCCTTGGCAAGGACCAAAAGTCCTGCCACGTGTCGCTTTCTCGGCAATCAAAACACAACAAATCTGTGTGGGTCGGGTGTGAAATCTGCTGGGCATTATCTAAAACTTGCCGCCATACGTTTTCGCCGATATCTTGGGCTATATCTGCTGTTGATGGCCGGCAACAGCGGGCTTAGCTGCAACGTCAACGCATTAATCACGTTTCGGCATGTGGAGGTGGCTACATGGCTTCGTGGAACGGGGAGTGGGTGGTTGCCCATTTGTGGTTGGGTGGCTCGCTGGCCCGGTGGCTAGGTGGCTCCGTGGCGGGGTGACAGTGACTGATGTGCGGAGGAGGCGGGCGGGCAAGGCGGCTTATCGATTGGCAGCTCGAACACACCTTTATCGTGGAGCAGCAGCCCATTCGATTGGATGAAATTTCAGACGACCGCATGGCCGGCATCTAATAATCAAATTGCGTTTTGACAGGCCAACGAATGGAGGGCGCTGGGAGCGGAACTGGGGGAACTCATTAGGATCCTGAGTATGATGAATGAACACACAGGATGATCCTGTTTTGGCCAGCGGCAGCCAGTCTTATTGCAAACGGTTAAAGCCCAAAAGTGTCCGGGGAGCGGTCAATATTCCGGCTTGATGAGTGCTCCACATTCCGGCTGATTATTTATTTTTGTTTTAATTAAAATTCGCACGAAATGCGCTGGCAATGATGCTTTCCATTTAAATGCAATTAAGTTAATGCCCGGACATCATTGCAAACAGGGAAAAATACGAGCATATACATTTAGCATTTGGCAAAAATCAAATCAAAATCTCGTATTAAATTAATTCGATTTGTTTGAAATGTGTTTGCGTACGCAGGCGAAATTAATGGCAGGCCGGGAGGGAAAGTGGGCGTGGCAGCTTCCGGCGAGGCCAGCGGAAGTGGACATGGTCATGGGACAGTGGACATTGGACAGAGGATACTGAACAGTGGACAGTGAACAGTGAACACTGACGCATCCTCCGATTCTCATCCGTTGTTTGCGGAGAACGCCTCACTGCATAAATGGACGAGCGAGTGATTGAATGCGATTCGCACAGAACGGCACAGCACAGCAGAGCACAACAAGGACAAACAAATTTGGCACAGCACAGGCAACAGTTTCATGCAATCTAATTCACAATTAATGACAAATTCCCTGCCACTTACGAGTCTCGAATGTGTGCGCTTGTATCTGTGTTTGCGAGCGAAAATATTTGCACAATAATTAATTGAATAATGTCAATAAATTTTCAACACATTTCCACCCACGCACACTTGTGCCATGCCGTGCCGTGCCGAGAGTCAAACTTTCC